CCGACTGGGGACGCGGCCAGTCGCTCTGTCGCGGGGCAGTGGCCGCGTGGGGGCCGGGAGCTGGGCCATGCTGGGCCGGCGGCGGGTCTTCGCGGTGGAGCCGCGCGGCGGCCCGGGTGAGTCGCCCCTGCCCCCTGCTCGGGCCGGGGTCGCATTGGGGGCTTAGGACACCACAGACCCGATCTCCCAGCTCCGGGCCTTTGCAGACCCGCCTGTGTCCTCAGTCCCTGGGGGCGCTCCTTTCCTGGAGCCAACTCTCGCGCTCTCACCGGGGCGCACACGGGGCAGCCCCTCCCTACCCCCCTTGGACCCCTGCACACCCACCCGGGAGGCGCCTACCTTTCAGCTTGAGGGGTGTGCTGGTTACTTTGAAGACGCCATGCGCAGAGCAGACCCTCAGAGGTTTGGGTGCCTAACTGGCCACCACCTCCACCCCATTTCCTCTGGGTCCACTTCCTTCCCGTTCCAGAAGGCCGCCTGAACTTCCCCTCTCCCCCTGAAGCCCTGAAAGCCCCCTCCGGGTCAGACCCCTTTCCAAAGAGGGCCTGCCTGCCCTGCAGGAGTGAGGTTCCGGCCGTCACCGCTGCCTGGAAGGCTGTGGCTGTGAATTCCATGGCCCGGACCCATCACTCCGAGTGGGACCAGCGAGGAAGGCCCACGGAGGTGATGCTGACCACGAGCATCCTTTCCCTTCTGGTGCCCATTCTAACACTTAGCAGTTTCTTTCGACGCCCAGCCGAACCTTCACGACTATTCCATCGAAGAGGAAGGAGCCTCAGGTCCCTCATTACAGCCGCTTGTAGTTAATCCCTGGCCCCTAGAAGCCCCGGAGAGCCGTGATCTAGCATCCTGGTGCGGCCGGGCCTCCAGATAGGCTCCACTCTGTGTCCTAACCTCTACCAACAGTGCGACTCCCCGCAGGCACGCCCCCCCCCCCGCCCCCGCTATGATGTGAAGGTCTGGGCCCGACGAGGTTCTCCCGGGAAGAAAGGCAGCTGGGCCACTGCAGGCGGGAGCTGGCGCGGCGTCTGAACCAGTTCCCTGTCTGATGTACAGGGAAACCGTCGTCCAGGCAGACCCCGGTGACACCTTGGCGAGGCTGTGGCTGTCTAGGCGCCGCCCTTCACTGCTCACCTGGGACACTCCTCCCAGGAATGCTGGGGGCGTTGGGGCGGCCGCGTAGCCTGATACTGACTCTCCTTGCAGATAGGGCGGCGGAGGACCCGGCGCGCGGGTGTGTCGTGCCCGGAGTCAGCAGCACCTACAGAAGGATCCCGGACGCAGCCGGGGGTGCTTCCCCGCCCTGGAACGCGGAGGCCCAGCTGAGGGGCCCAGGGAGGCGGGTGCCACTTCTGAAACTCGCCTCCCGAGACTCGGGAGTGGAGATGGCAGTTGGAGATAGCTCCCTGGTCACTTCCCCGGGCCTGTCTCTGGACTCTCTGGACTTCGATCCTTCGGGAAGCTCCGAGGCCCCCGCCCTCGTGGAGCCCCCGGCCCAACTCGGCAGGCTCCTGGCCAGTCGAACGCTGGAGCAGGTCCTGGAGCGCTCCCGCTGCCACCCTTCTTGCCCAGCCAGCTGGTCCCAGCAGCACCGCCCCCTGCAGCCGCCAAGCAAGCCTGCGTGTGAGCTGCCCGCTTTGGGAGGCGGGGAGCAGGAGACCACTGGGTCAGAAAAGGACCTGGAGGCAGCTGAGGGGGTGAGTGCTATTTCAGGCCCGTCATGGCTGGGGGGAAGGGGCACAGCCCCTGCGCTCCCCCCTTCCCCCAGTTCTCAGTCCAGTGGGGACCCCTGGAGCACCCTGGTGGTGGGGGGGCGGGACATTCCTTGTCCCTAATTGATGGGTTGTGTCTGTCACAGTTTGTGCCTCACTGCACTAGCTGCCTTTAGCCACCCCCAACCCGCAGGGGAGGTGAGCAGGTTTGGGTCCTGCCTGGCGCTGGGGGCATGTGGGTTCCCCCTTCCCACTGCCTGCTTTGCACCCATCTGCTGGGTGAGCAGGTTGGCTGCTAGGGTGAAAGTCCAGGTGAATTCAGGGGGCTTCCCTCTGTCACCGTGGCCCACAGGTGAGGGCCCTGGAGCCTGAAGTCTGGACCAGCCTCCCAGGACAGGGTCTCCGCTACCTAGAACACCTGTGCCTCGTTCTGGAGCAGATGGCCAGGCTCCAACAGCTCCACCTGCAGCTGCAGACCTGGAGGCCCGCAGGGGTGAGTGAGCCAGCGGGTGGGCAGGCCCGGCCTGGGGGAGGTAGAGGAGCACAGCAAGCCTGAGCATCATGGCTCCCTGTGCACAGCCTCCGCCCTCTAGCGATGTCCTGGTTGTCTGTCCCACTTAGTCACAGGACCCTGGAGAGGAGTCACCTGCCCCAGCTCCTTCACTCTCACCATCCCCTGCCCTGAGCAATGAGGCGCAGGTGCCGCCTTGGGACCTGCCAAGCCAGACAAAGGATGCAGGTGAGGGGCGCTGTCTTCCTGCCCCTGTGCCTCGCTTGCCCAGCCCCCTTGATGCCATGGCTGCTTGGGCGTGGCCCTGGGTGACCCAACTCTCCTTCTGAAGGGGCAAAGGCAACTTCATCCCCCAAAGTGGGGGTGCCTGGCACCGACCTCGCCCACCTGTCCGAAGCCTCAGAGGTGCCAGCTCACACCTTCCCACCCTCCCAGGGACACAAGGTAGGTGGACACCCCTAAGTCCAGAAACTTGGGGAAGATGGCAGCATTCCTACCTGGAGCAGGTGGGGAGGAGAGCTGCCTTTAGGAGCTGATGTAGGGGAAGCTCCCCACCCTCCACCCCCTCAGCTGGATCTCTCCCCTTGGGGCAAGGTCAAGGTCCTGCTCAACCGGATCTTCTGGAGAAACTCTCGACATCCTGAGCCCCTTGTCCCTCGGGCTGGCCCCGACCTCAGGTGAGTTGGGTGAGCTTAGGGTGTTGGATTATAGGGAATTGAGGTGGCCCTAGGAACCAGGGGTGACAGTCTAGGAAGGGAAGCCAGAGGAGCGACACAAGTGGTTGAAAGGGGTGGGGGTGGGGCAGTGGAGGGAAGTCACTTTCCTAGACCACAAAGTCAGCCTGTGGCAGAGGCAGAGCCAGGACCAGAATATGAGTGAGCTTCTCAGCCCAGGCCCTGCAAGGCTTAGCCCCTCCACGCTGACCTGACGCATCATCGGCCAGCCCCCTGGATGGGCAGGGAGCTAAGGGAGTGGGGTGGGAGGGGCACAGACTGGGGATTGGTCGAGGGTGAGTCCACCCTGCTATGAGAATCTGCCGGAGCTTCTGCACAGGGAAGAACACTGCCCAGAGCAGATAAGCCCTGCACTGCTCTTCTTGGCTCCCTTTGTGTCCCCCTCCTAGCTCTGGACTTTCTTTTCCTTTGTCACAGGATTGAGTCCAGGGATCTCCCTGAAAGGTCTCAGTGTCATCCCCGCCGGAAGACTTTCATGCCTTCGCTGGTAGTTAGGAAACAACGAGCAAAAAACCTTTCTGTCTGCTAAGCCTAGCTTGTGCAGGGTGTGACCCTTGGGGTGAGGTGGGGCGGGGCACCGGCGGCAGGGAAGTCTCTGCCCTCGCCCTCCAGCCCCGTGGCTGTTTCTCTTCACCGCTGGGTGAAGCTGTGATGCTGGCCCTTCTCTGAAGCTAGGGGCTGAGTCTTCCTCCTCGGACCAGCCTGGCAGTAGGGACCCAGTCCCCTGAGAGTCCCCCAATGTGACAAGTCTAAGGTTCCTCCCTGCTTGCCAGAAATCCCTGGGCTTCTACAATGTGAACTAACTTATTTCTCAAGTGCCCATGCCATGTTACAGATGCGTATTTATGGATAAGTCTATGCCCATTAGCTGTGGCCAGCAGTGTTAGGAGCTGGCTGGATCCAGCCATCCCTTTGGGTAACAAGCACCCTCCAAAACTGGTAAAGGCGACTTCTGGACGAGGTCATCTGCGTGCAGAAGGATGGAACTGCCCGCAGTTGCTGATCCACCTGGGTTCCTGCTTTCCTCAAGCACATGCTACTGGGAAGCCTCTGACAGGGTCTGGTCCCTGGAGCAGGGTCCCTGCAGATGGCACTAGGAATGGCAGGCCTGGCGACAACAGACCAAGGATGCACCTTCAAGAATACCTTCAAGGTCAATTCTCGGCTGCTCTGTTCCCTGCTAGCTTTTACCCGTCAAAGCCCAAACCAGAAGCTCATACCAAAACTCACTGCCATCAAGCCGATTCCGATTCATCAAGACCCTATAGGACAGAGAGCAGAACTACCCCTTTGGGTTCCCAAGACTATAAGTCTTTACTGGAGCAGGAAGTCTCATCTTTCTCCTGCAGCGAGGCTGGTGGATTCGAACTGCCAACCTTGTGGTTAGCAGCCCAACATGTTACTTATCATGCCACCCGCGTTTGAGACAGCCCTTTAACTTTTCTTGTTTTTATAATGTTCCAAACGGGATAATGATGCCTGCCCTACCTACCTCACAGGCTTAGGATGATGCCTACATGAGATTCAAATGCCCTGAAGTCCTTTGTGAACTGTGAAGTACACAGGAAAGGGGAAGAGGGCTGGGGGTACACTGCCAAGGGGAGAGGGGAGAGTGGACTGAGATTGCCACCAGGGACTAAAAATGGCCAGTGAGAGAGTCATTTCATTGAGATCTCTTCTGTTTTATACCTGAGAAATATGGGCACTTAGTCCTGAAACTCGTCCCTCTGTGTTTTGGAAACAAACAGCTTGAGAGATTTTACCCCCCCCCCCTCCAATCTTGAGAGGTTTCCTTTACCCAGTTTTTCTACCTCAGAGAGTGGGTTTACTCTTGTCCCGAATGACTGATGTTTCCTGGGTGAGTTGTAAACTAGCTGGTTTCACACTTTTTGTTTTCAAAACCCTGAGCTGTAGCTTGTCCTGTGATTAGTCTGTACTGTGCAGGGATTGATCAATATACTGTGCACATGAAGCAACTACAGACTATGTTCATGAAATGTCTACATACCTTTAAATTGACCAGGAGTATACTTATCCATTTATGTAGTCAGCCACACAGAGTTTTGGGGAAGGAGAAAGGAGAAGCAGAGAGGGAGAGGGGGAGGAACTGAGGAACCTCAAAACTGTGACGTGGGTCAAAGGCTGTCTCACTGAAGACAGTGAGGCCTGGAAGAGGCCTTGTGGCCGAGCTGGTGGCGAAGACAGAAGCGATGACCGCTGCCAGGAATGGAGCTGGGAGAGGGGAACAAAGCTGCCGCACTGGCTAGGAAGCAGTGGGCTGGTTAGTGGTGGGAGCTGAAGGCAGAGAGGACGCCTATCCTGAGGGGGCTGAGAGCGAAGGGCCTGCTTGCTTGCATGGCTGAGGGGAGCTGACCTGCACTGAGGCAGGGAGGGGTTGACTCAGGGTTTAGGGGAAAAATCAACCTGTTTGTTTCCAAAACATGAACTCAATTCAGGACTAAGTGCCTGGGTTTGGGGGGAGTCATCTAGACTTTACTTACATGCTGCCTGCCCCAGAGTTATACCTTGTAACTTCCTTAATAAACCTCTTTAAGTGTGCTCTATGAGTGGCCACTGCAATGAATGAATGCGCCTGGAGGTAGTGGATGCTGCGGGCGGGGTGGCAGGTGTCAGAGCCAGTGAAATGCTGGCAAGAGGTGTGTCTGACCGCCACCTCCCTGGAATCAGCCTTGGACTGTTGCAGATTTTCCTTCTGAAGTTAGGACTTTAGCTGCTACTAGAACATGACATTTGGGGGCGGAGGGGAGTGCTCACTACAGCTCTCAAAAGGTCGGCTCAGTGTTGTGGTTAGATGCTGTGAGTCGGTGCCGACTCATAGTGATCCGATGCACAACAGAAATACCCTCTTCGTGGCCAGGTGGGGATCTGACACTGGCTGAGACAGGGAACTAGATGGCCAAGTCTTTCTTCAGAGTCCTGCTCTGCTGAAACCGGTTCAGTAGCATACTGTTTCCCCGAAAGTAAGACATGCTCTGAAAATAAGACCTACATACGGTTTTGCCTCTTGTTGAAATATAAGTCACCCCCCGAAAATAAGGCCCCCTGAAGCTACCGTAACTCTGGACTTTGGACCGGAGTGTCGGGCGCTGTTGTGCAACTCACTGTTGGCTGCAGCGCAGCTGGAGTAGAGACAGGAAGTGTGAGGTTTATTTTAATAAAACAATAAACAATAAATGTGTACCGTATTCTTCATGGAAAAATAAGATATTCCCTGAAAATAAAACCTAGTGCATCTATGGGAGCAAAAGTTAATATAAGACACTCTTATTTTTGAGGAAACAGGGTAGCAGCATACGAGCAGGTGGTGGTGTGCAAGAGACCCATTGGCCCCCAGAATGAGTTCAGGTCTCCCACAATGACGGTAAGGCTTTTGCTACTAAATCACCACTGCCCTGCCGAAATATCACTAGGGGTCTATATTACTCAGCATTGTTAGGCTCCTGTATGAATCGAGAAAGGTGGAAACCCTGGCCTCCTATAGGGACCCAGAAACTGGGAGGTGTTGGTGTGGTGTGTGGGGGTACAGAGTCGGGCAACTCCCTTTGCTTCCGCAGATGGGGGCACGGAATGGCATTCCCGGGCACCACAAAGATTAAAAGGCGCCTGGTTAAGGTGGCTGGACAATGGGGTGATGGGGTGGTGGTGGCATTTCTGCGGACTAGTCGCTCCATCAACGTCTTTGCATCTGGAGATTGGGGGTGGGTGGGGGTGCAATTTAGAGATTACCCTGGGCGCTGCTTAGCCTCGCTGCGCCCCTAGTCCCAGACAGACAACTTTCTCCTAGACACGGCCAGCGATCAAGCACTGCCCTCCGGGCAGGACGGACTGGTTCTCTTGCTGTATAGGGGGTCTTCCAGAACGCGGTGGGGGTGGTGGCGGTGGGCACTGCCTCCCGGACACTGCAGCTGTCTTTGCCCTCGGAACTAAAGCGTGGGGGGCCGCTTTTCTACTGGGAAACTTGAGTGCGGGCACTGCCTAGGCGCGGCGCGCGCGATCGGGGAAGGCGCACTTCCGCTCCACAGCCGGAGCTGGAAGGGACACCGGGGTGGGGGCAGGGAGAGGTCGGCGGAGACGGGGGAGGGACCATATCCGGGAGAGTGGCAGCTTCCGACCAGTGGTCGCGGTTCCGGAGAGGCGCTTCCGGCGGCGGCGGCGGCTGTGGTGGTTCCGGGTGTCTTTGTCCCCCGGTGTCGCGGCGCTGGCCCGCAGGTGGGTTGGGGCCCTGCCGCCGCTCCTCGGCCTCTGGCCCCCTCCTCGGGCCAAGGGCCCGGAGGGCCCGGCGGCGAGATGCGCTGCTCGCGGAAGGGGCCAAGTGCCCCTCCGGACTGCCAGCCCCGTCTCCCTGGCAACGGCCTCGGCCCTGGGGGCGGGCGGGAGGAGCAGAAGCCGCGCGCCTTCGCCTTCGCACGGCGGCCTCGCAGTCGCCCGGCTGCGGAGACTGGCGCCGGCGGCGGCGGCCGAGGCGGGAGCCGAGGGCCCGATAGCGCGGGAGCGGGAGGGCGGCGCGCAGCGCGGTTCGCGTCCGGCCGGGCCGGAGGGCTGCCCTCCCGCTAGCCTGTCCGGGGAACGGGGGACCTTGGCTTCCGGGGCGCACACCGTCTCCTCGCCGCCACTGGCAGCCTCCATTTTCCTAGGCCCTGCCGTGGAGCATTTTGGCGGATGTTTTTGAATGAATGAATGTCACGGAGCTCTTCCCAGCCCCCGAGCCCCCAGCCCTCCGCGGGTGGCGTGACCTAGTGAGAGGGGCATCGCGATTGGGAGACCCGGGTGTGAGGCTTGGTTTTGTCACTCACTGGTTCTGTGGCCCGGGGCAAGTCTTGATCTCGCTGAGCTTCAGCTTCCTTCTCGGTCAATTGCACGACCGCCAGCTTGCCACTAGGTTATTGTGAGGTCAGATTGGAACAGTGTAACACGTTACTTCATTTCCTGCCCCTCCAGCTAGTCTCATTTTCGCCATTCATTCTCAGTCACCCCATTTGCTTCCCGTTTATCTCTTAAGATTTTTAGTTCTATACGAGTTTCCCCTTTTTTTGGCGGGGTGGGGGGGGGTAGATGGAAATTTTCCTCGTGAGTTGATAATCTTTCTTTTCTGATTGAAGGTTTTCCCTACGACACTGAAAAAGGACGGCATTCCCAATGTCCCAGTTTAAGCGCCAGCGGCTCAATCCGCTTCCAGGGGGTCGTAACTTCTCAGGTGATCACCCTCCTCCCTACCTGGCACTGTATTGGGAGCCATGTGCTTTTGGACTTTCAGAAGGTGGCTTTGTGGGGGAGAGGGGGAGGGTCCTCCCAGTGGAGAGCAATTTGCTAGTAGGAAAGGAGAAGACGACTTCTGAGGTGCCAGGTCTATTCTGTGGGGGTTGGTGGGAGTCAGTGTGCCTTTGTGTTAACCACCTCCTCTAGTGCACTAGAGTCCTGGAAGTGATTGTGTGGTCCGAAGATGGCTTCTCTGTCTCCACAGGTGCGGCTTCAACATCCCTTCTGGGTCCCCCTCCTGGTTTGCTCACTCCTCCGGTGGCCACGGAACTGTCCCAAAATGCCAGACACCTGCAGGTAGGCAAGGCATTGCTTTCTACGGAGCCCTGCGGCCCTGCCAGCATTCCTGGCTGCTTGGCGCTCTTCGCTCTTTTATAGCACCTGGTGTTCTTTCTTCCTGGTTCTTCTCCTGCTAACGGGCCAGTATGGGTTGATGACCCTACAACCCTTAGATTCGGAGGTTGTAAGTTTTAGTTCTTGGGAAACCTTTAGTACACCGCCTGGCATGCAGGAAGACCTGGAAACCCGGGACGCTGTGGGCCATGAGCAGATCCCATAGATGGATGCTGTTCACCAGACACACGTGCTTCTTGGTTGTCTGAGTGAGCTGGGTGGCGGATAAAGATGAGAGGGTGGCCGAGTGTGTCTTTGTCCAAGTTAATCCCCATTACTTTTAAATTGCCCATTTTCACAGGGTGGCGAGAAGCAGCGCGTTTTCACTGGCATTGTTACCAGCTTGCACGATTACTTTGGGGTGGTGGATGACGAGGTCTTTTTTCAGATAAGGTAGGCTTGAGGCTGGTCCCCGGCAAGCAAAGCTTTTTGGGTTCAATTCTGTCACCATGCTGGTGGGGGCGCCTCTAAAGCCGTAGCTTTGCTGTTTTTATGCAAGGTGTGAGAAATCTTGATGGGAAGGGCCTCCTGGGGGACAGTCAGGGTGACTTGGCCATGGTCTCTCACTGACTGGGCCTCCCGGCTTATATGCTGGCAGTGTGGTGAAGGGCCGGCTGCCCCAGCTGGGTGAGAAGGTGCTGGTGAAGGCTGCATACAACCCAGGTCAGGCAGTGCCCTGGAATGCTGTCAAGGTGCAAACACTCTCCAACCAGGTATTCCTCTTTCTTTGGCTTGTGCATCTGAAAGGGGAGGGAGGGAAGCAGGCTAAGAACTGTACTTCTGTGGAGGGCTTGGCATGGCATCTGACCAAGGTCGTGAGCACATCAGTTCTGCGATGCCCTGAATTTTCCTGGCCACTGTCCCCTCAGCCCCTGCTGAAGTCGCCAGCACCTCCCCTTCTGCATGTGGCAGCCCTGGGCCAGAAGCAAGGGATCTTGGGAGCTCAGCCTCAGTTGATCTTTCAGCCTCACCGAATTCCCCCGCTCTTTCCTCAGAAGCGTGAGTACTAGTGGCTTAGAATTAGGGTGTGGCTGTGTGTGGGTGGGGGGGCGGTCCTCTCGATGAATGGATGCATAACTCTCAGAAGTAGGTACTACTAGGCCCTGGACGTCAGGGAGGGAGGGCTGTCAAAGTTTTGAGGGGTTTTATGTCACTGGCCACTTCTTCTCTGCAGCTCTGAGTCTCTTCCAAACATCCCACACACTTCATCTGAGCCACCTGAACCGGTTTCCTGCTCGGGGTCCTCATGGACGGTTGGATCAGGGCCGAAGGTAAGCCAACCAGGCAGGAAAGTGTTTGATTTGCCTCTGGGAGCAATGTCCCTTTCTTTGCTGCTTCGTAACACAAGGTTCTCTTTCTGCAGCTGCATCGTAGTCCCCTTGCCCTATAATATAAAAACCACTGAAGTAGACAAGGAGGGTTCAAAAAGTTGGTGGGAAAATTCTACGATCCTTCAATTCTGTTCTGCAGCCAACTCTTTGAATCCCCTTGTATTACAGATTTTGGAACTTGAAACATTCAATGTTTCTTGAGGTGCCATTTTGAGATACTTTTTAATATGAAAATTTCCTTTTATTTGTAGCTCCTAAGAGCAATACCAAGAATTAAGACTGTCAAGAAAATAATAGTGCCACAAAAGTACCATTGTAATGGGTATTGTTTTCTAGTTAAAAATGTATACAAGGGGATCCCCAAAAGTTCATGGAAAAACCCCATGATCCTTTAATTCTATTTTTCCACAAACCTTTTGCAGACTCGTTTCTTTATGCATGTGTGTGTTGCAATGTGCCGAGAAATTGAGGCCTTTTGTCCCGGAGATGACGGCCTTCTCCCTGGGCCATGTGTGGAGGAAGCCTAGGTGGTTGGGGCGCTCCTAGGCAATCCTGTGTAACCCCTGCTTGCTGGGCCTGCTGTCTTCTCTCCTTAGTCAGCACTCTCCCACGGCTTTCAACGCTTCTGCTTCTCTCCCTCGGCTAGTTTAAGGCTTGCTCAGGTTCTGTCTGGGAGCTCTGGTGGTGGTGTGGGTTTAGCAGTGGGCAACAAGGCCAGCAGATCGAAAATCGGCAACTCTACGAAAGAAAGATGAGCCTCTCTACTCCCGTAAAGAATTACAGTCTCAGAAGCCCACCAGAGCAATTCTACCTTGTCCTATCCTATAGGGTTACCATGACTCAGCATTGGTCTGATGGTATAGTGAGTTTGGGTTTTTTGTTTTGTTTTTTTGGTGGTGTAATTCTGAGTTCATTTTAACTTTATTATGGAGACTTTCAAATACATGCAGAGTAAACAGAATGGTGTTCCGAACTGTCAATCATTATCAGCATTCTTCCAGTCTTCTCCGCCCACTGCTTGCTCTCTGCTTGTATTTTTTAGATCTAATTTATATAGATTGAACTGTACCAAACTGGACAGTTTTGACAAATGGAAAATTTCACACAACCTTTACTCTCTTGAGGCATAGAACATTTCCCTCACTTCAGGAAGTCCCCTCAGGTGTAGCTTTCATTTGAAACATGAACTCTCTTAAGAGTAGGCCAGCCCTCCTCCCAGAGGCCAGCAGATGATTACCGGGTAAGGGGTGAGAAGGCGTGAACACGTACGAGGAGCAGGAGCAGGTTGGAGAGGAAGCCTAAGCTGGTGTGCTGCAGCCAGTGCTGCTGCAGCCAGTTTGCCCCCTCAGGTGGGTCACTGGGGACCGAACCAGGGGGAGCTCCTGAGGGCCAGGGCTGTTTGTGTTTCCAGGACCCCACCATATCAAGCCACTTGTTACTTTACACATACCCAGTCCTCCTCCCTTGGTCGAGCATCTTCTTGGTCTTTAATTTCCAAGGACATTAGTTTCCCCTGTTACATGCTGTGAGCTTGTAAAAGGTTTCAGTGGAAAAAAAACCACAGCAAGCATGTGATATGTGTGGGAATAATGTGGTCTGGGTGGAAGTCACTGGCCACTGTTTACTGTAGGTTCAAATTCAGGTCTTGTGGGTGATCGGTTGCATTTGATTGTCATGGGTATGCCAACCTTGTTTAATTACTTTGGACATCACCTTCGGGTCATAGCTTCTAGAGAAAGAAGAGTTTACTGCTGAGGTGGGATAGGTAGAGAATTTGTAGTAGGAAAAGAAGTAGATGGTATTTGTATATGTGTGTGTGTGGAGGGGGGCCAGTTTGGGGACAACTGTTCATTTATAAAGGAATCCGTGACATTAGCATTTTGGCTGAGTACCCAGTTTTATTATTGACTCTTTAGGCCATGCGGTATAGGCTGCTTGTCAGGCACAGTCCTGGCTTTCAGGAAGGTGTGTGGAGCTGGCCTGCTGCTGGTGCTGCCTCTTTCACCCTGCTCTCGTCACTCCCTGTCGTAATGAGAGCACCCCGGCTGCTGGGCCAGAGGATTTGGTGGACCATGGAGCTTGACTGGGGTTTCCGGCACGTACTGCTGGGTTCACGTCAGTCCTGGGGTGAGCTGCTGAGAGAATGACTGCAACAGTTCTTTTGTTAGATCATCAAAGCACGGACAGTCCCATAAGAGCAGGATCTGTGGGCAGTTCTAGGATGGGCCACTTAAGACAGTTATTGGAAAATAAAAACAAAAACCAAACCTTGAGTTAACATAATCAACTTTGTTACTCAGGAGTCTAAGAAACAGAAATGACCCAGGCAGGCCCAAAACTGGAAGAAGATAAACCTGGCAAAAAGTTACCAACCCTCTCCCCAGGTAGGCCCTCCCTAGGCATGAAGAATGGACAGATGATTCTCTGAGGCCTGGGGGATTTCCCCTTCTCTGGTATTTCCCAAGGCCTAAAGCAGTGAATCTCAACCTGTGGGTTGCCACCCCTTTGGAGGTCGAACAACCCTTTCACAGGGGTCGCCCGATTCATAACAGTAGCAAAATTATAGGTATGACATAGCAATGAAATTTTTATGATTCGGGGGGCGGGTCACCACAACATGAGGAACTGCATGAAAGGGTTGTGGCATTGGGAAGGTTGAGAACCACTGTTCTAAAGTTTCTTCCTCTCAACACTAATGCCAAAGTAAGTGATTTATCGCATTTATATAGTATCGATGCCATGATAGAAAATTCAAATGCTGTGCAGATAAGCAATGTTTGTTACCATGTAGGCATTCTTAAAGACCTTTAGAAAATAGTTTTGAAAAGAGTAATTACTGTCATTCATCTCTTTCAGTATTTTTCTTTTTAAAAATTTTTCTTGTAGTATTTTTTCTATAACATACAGACCGTTTTAAATCTTAGGGTTCCTGCTGATTTTGTGAGGTCGTAGTACACCCTTTCTCATATCGCACGATAATCTTACCATCACCGTGTTAATCCCTATCACTCAGAGGCGCCGTGAATGACTGGAATTATTTGATGTATAAGATGGATGTTTGCGGTTTTTACTCTTAACTTTTGCCTGAATGCCTTCTACTCTGTATGCACTGTGACTCTTGACCGACGTCTCTGAGGTACAGTCTCTACAGTAGATGTCAGGATGGAAGGGTTTGAGAATGTCTATGTACTGCTAATGGTTTCTTACAGGAACTGTCTCTTAATAAAATGCACAGAGACCGTCTAACACTGTTATGGTTTTTTTTGTTGGCTTGTTTTTGTGTGCATTTTAGTTCACTTTTCTTCTTGTTTCAATTTGGAAATTTGGAAAGCTCAGAAGTGCAGAAAGGAAAACTGCACACGTTGATCAGCTTTGGATACTCTGTCTTTTGCTCACTATCTGGATCTTGTTTATGGTACTAAGAGCTTTTAAGTATCTGCTGAAGTGCCCCTTCATAATGTTCTGTCACAGGGGTTGGCATACTTTTGAGATGGAAGAGCCAATCCTGTCCTTCAGAAAAATTTAAAGATTAATCAAGCTCTGTAAATACATTTTTACAAACAAACGAAATCACCATGATCTGAATATCTTCTAAAAAGTTGTGAATGGAATTAAGTTGTAAAATGCAGTTTTACTTCAGAACCACATGTATGTAGCGTGCCATGTACGTTCGAGTGCTATCGTTTGCCGCTTGTTGGTGTGGCTTTAACCTTGTCTTTGATGTTAGGCATTCAGATGGCTTCCCGTGTTTCCTTTCCTACGTCAGTCTGTACTGATTACTTTGAAATAACAATGCGGTGTTTCTCCCTGGGTGATTGCTCAACCTCCAGTGATGACTATGACTCCAAGAAGCGCAAACAGCGGGCTGGAGGAGAACCTTGGGGTGCTAAGAAACCGAGGCATGACCTGCCTCCCTACCGGGTCCATCTCACCCCCTACACTGTCGACAGGTGAGTGATAAGGCTGACGTGGGGTGACACTGGCCAAGGGTCAGGTTCTGGTGTAGGTGAGGCAGAGCCTGTGGAAGGGCCACCGAGTGTTCTCTGAAGAGGGCACAGATGGAGCCATTTGTACACACTGCTTGGGGACTTGGCTTTTTGACCCATCTCAGAATTTACTCTAATGTTTTTTAAAGACCCTGGTGATGTAGTGGTCAAGTACTCACTTGAGAGCCGAAAGGTTGCTGGTTGGAATCCACCTAAGAGAAGCATCTGGCGACCTGTTTCTCTCAAGATAACAGCCTAGCAAATTCTCAGGCAGCTCTACCGTCACATGGCATTTACTGGATTGATCTTATTAACTAACTACACAGTATTCCAGTGAACCATAGTTTAACCGGGTCTCTATTTTCAGTCGTCAGTCTTTACAAACTTGGCACATCATGATTTTCGCCAGTGCAGTGTCACTGGGATCCGTTCCTAGGAATGGTGTCGCTGGCCCAAAGGGTTGGGCTGAAGCTTTGCTAGGTGTTGCTGGGCTCTCGTACAGAGGCCATATCAGGGTACGCTCTCACCAACGGGCCACCAAGTACTTCCCTTGAGATTTTGCCAAGACTGTCTTAATTAAGCTTTTTGGTCTTTGCCAATCTGATCAGTGACAAATGATAGTCTAATTTGCATTTCTTAATTATAGTCAGAGTAAGCATTTCCTTCATGGGCTTCCATGTCTGATATATTTTTCTGTTAAGTACTGTTGTCAGTTTAATCAGTGTTTTGTTGGCCGGTTTTCTTTCTGTGTGTATGTGTTACTGATTTAGGAGTGCTTTTTATACTCTGAGTTATTACATCCGGCACGCCCCTGCCCTGTTTGACTCAGTGTTTCACAGAGATTTTTTATTGATCAGATTTGATCCATCTTTTCCCTGCTTTTGCACAGAAAGTCTTTTTCTAGTTGGTAATTTGCCCATTTCTGTTTTCAAGTCGTGTTTGTGACTGTAGTCTTAACCTGAATTCTCTTGCTTGCTTTCTGCAGCCCCTTCTGTGACGTCTTAGAACTCCAGCGCCGTTACCGCAGCCTCCTGGTCCCCTCCGATTTCCTGGCCGTTCACCTGAGCTGGCTGTCAGCCTTCCCTCTGAGCCAGCCCTTTTCCCTCCATCATCCGAGCCGAATCCAGGTATCTTCTGAGAAGGAGTCAGTTCCAGACGCTGGTGCTGAGCCTGCCCCTTCAGACATCGACCCTGCGTATAGTTCCAAGGTGAGCCAGGGAGAGTCCGGGGGCTCTGCTTTCCCCCGTGGAGGTGGGCATGGCTCTCTAGCGTGCTCCTTTGTGCGACCTCTGCACAGGTTCTGTTGCTCTCGTCCCCGGGATTGGAGGAGTTGTATCGTTGTTGCATGCTGTTCGTGGATGACATGGCCGAGCCTAGGGAGGCCCCAGAGCACCCTTTGAAGCAGATTAAGGTAAGGACAAGAGCTGGGAGGCACGAGCTTCATCGAGAAGAGTCCACTCCCTGTCAGGTTTTCAGCTGCTCGCTCTTGCACATTACCTCACAGGGGCATGGCATTTCAGGGGTGAACTGCCCCCATTTGGCCTGGTGAGGTCTTTCCTGTCAGAAAGCAATGCCATCCCGTGTGGTGATGTCTTTGCCATGCTACTGCCTTCATTCCTGATTAGTGGCAGCCTTGGAGTAGGAGGCCCTGGGCATTTAGCCTTTCATTTCTTGACCCTAATCTCTTTCGGCAGCTTTTGCTGGGCCGGAAAGATGAAGAAGCAGTGCTGGTTGGGGGTGAGTGGTCTCCCTCCTTGGACGGCCTTGACCCCAAGGCTGACCCGCAGGTGCTAGTCCGCACTGCCATCCGCTGTGCGCGAGCTCAGACGGGCATCGACTTGAGCAGCTGCACAAAGTGGTGAGTGGGCTCCCTCAAGCGCTGGTGGGTGCCGAGCTCACTGCCGCTGCTCTCCAGTCCTGTTAGCATAGCGCCTCGCCTCTCAGTTTCTGCCAACTTCCCCTGACCCAGCCGCTCCAGCTGCCTCCCAGGTGGAGCCGGCCCAGAGAGCTGAGTGTTGGTGGGCAGCTAATTGGACGTGGCTGACAAGGTCCTTAGACACGTTCAGTGCTCCTTGTTGCCTTGGCCCAAGGCTGAGTGCTTGTGGGTGGTTCCTTGTGGACTAGCATCTTCTTGAGGATCGGGCCTGTCTGCACTCTGGAAGCTCGGCATCCACTGGGTGCGGTGACTGTGCGCACGGGTCAGCACGTCGTTCTCTGTGCGCAGGTGGCGCATTGCTGAGTTCCAGTACCTGCAGGCAGGGCCCCCCCGGCGGCTCCAGACAGTGGTGGTGTATCTGCCAGACGTCTGGACCATCATGCCGACTCTGGAGGAGTGGGAGACCCTGTGCCAGCAGAGAGCTGCAGAGGCAGCTGTCCCGCCTCAGGAGGCACCCTTGGTAAGGCTGAGCCTTCTCAAGACAGGCGGGGAGAGAGGCAGGCGCCTGAGCCCAGATGGTCAGAACGTTCTGTCTCTGTTGTAGGAAACAGAGGCTCCTGAGCAGGCTGTGGATGCATCAGAGCAAGCGGCAGACAGCTCGAAGCAGAATGCAGAGAACCCAGAAGGCCCCGGCCAGCAGGATGCAGACACTGACCTCCCAGAGGCCCCCCCACCGCCCTTGGAACCTGCCCTGGTGGCTCGCCCAGGTTGTGCAAACCTCTCTCTCTACGGCATTGTGGAGGACCGGAGGCTGAAGGAAAGGGTCTCTTTCGAGGTAGGCTTGGACACTTGGGGAGGTTGTGCGGTAGAAGGCACGGTGTGGCGAAAACACTTTTTTCCCCCTGATGCTAACCGCCACCCTCCCACCCCTCCCCTCCAACAGGTGATGGTGTTGGCTGAGCTGTTTCTGGAGATGCTGCAGCGGGATTTTGGTTACAGGATTTACAAGATGTTGCTGAGCCTTCCTGAAAAGGCAGTGACACCGCCTGAGCCTGAGAAGGAGGAGGCAGCCAAGGAGGAGGCGGTCGTCAAGGAGGAGGCGTCCCAGGAGCCCAAGGAAGAGGCACAGAATGAGAGCGTGGCCGCTGAGTCAGATGCCCCCCTGGTGAGCGCCTGTTTTGCTGGGGCGGGCAGTGAGTGCTGACAGGCCGTGGCAGCCAGAGACAGGTGTTTTAAATACCTGAGGGTTAACTAAAAAAATATTTTTTTCCCTACCTTTTAAAAGTCATATGGGTGCTTTCTTGCCTAAGAACTATCAAGGAAACATCATTTCTTAGGCACCAAGGCTGACTAGGTGCCTGCCGGATCTCCCTGGTGTGCGGAGCCCTGTGTAATTAAATTACGTACACCGACGAGGCCCTCGCACAGTGCTGGGTGGCATGGCCCTACTGCGTGTCAGCGGTCACAGCTAACCGTTCCTTCTCATCCTGGTCCACTGCCTCTAGAAAGAGGACGGCCTGGTGCCCAAGCCCCCATCTTCTGGGGGCGAGGACGAGGAGAAGCCCCAGGCCGAGGCCTCAGATGACCTTAGTGAGATGGCTCTGGACCCAGACCTGCTGCTCCTGCGAGACGACGGAGAAGAGGAGTTTGGTA